GTCCCTCAGGTAAAAGAGAAGGTTGACTTCTCATGCTTGTACACACAAGGTCCAAAGGCATGACTCAGAACTGCACCTGGCTTGGAAGAGCTCAGGAGGGACCGTCTCCCAGCACCCCTGGTCCTTAGCAAGGCATCCCTGGAGGCAATTGCCTTTTCTTCCTTTTCTGGTGTTTTAAACAACCTGCTGCCTGCCTCTCCCCCCCCCCCCCCATTTTTTCCCCGGATCTTCCCTGGAAAATCTGTGTGTTCGGGGGGGGAAATCTGTGTGTTTACAAGGCAAGAAGCCATTTGTAGACTTTGATATATTTTTCTCCAATAATCTGTAAATGGTGTTCCCATCAAAGCTTATAAAAACAGCAGAGAGGGTGGAGTGTGTGTGCTGGTGTTGAGAGAGAATAAGCAAGAGGGAGAGGATAACTGTAAATTGGAAACTCTTGCTTGGGTGGTGTGTCCCAAAGGGTTTGCGCCCGGGGGGGGGGGGGGGTCCGTGCTAGTCACAGATAGCTCTGTCCCTGAGAGCTGGCACAGTGGAAGGGCCTCTGCTTGGCACGCAGAAGGTCCCAGGTTCAATCCCCGGCCTCTCCAGTTAAAAAAGGACCAGGCAGTAGGTGATGCAAAGGACCTCTGCCTGAGATCCTGGAGCGCTGCTGCCAGTCTGAGTAGACAATACTAATTTTGATGGACTAAGGTCTGATTCAGTATAAGGCTTGTGTTCATGTATTTAGGGGTCTGTAAGAAATTTTTATTGGGTAGTGGCTCTTTTCCTTTATCTTGGAGCTTTATTTTGGGGGTAACTGTTGGAAGGTAAGGTGATCTAAGGTCAGCATGGCTGGGCGCACACTGAAATCCACAGTCTGGCAGAGGGCTTGCCACCACCTTGGGATGCGGGGCCGAGCTTGGTGGCAGTGGAGGAAGCAGGTCGCAGCCTCTTCCAAGCGCCTTTCCCGTCAAGAATTCGGAGATGGCCTCAGAAACGCCAAAGCTGTCATGGGGACCTTTGGGGTGATCTCCCTTTTCTGGAAGGAACGAAATTTCGATTGTTTCGTGACCCTTTTTGACCAGTCAGAAATAGAGGGCCTGAAAAGGAGTGCAAATCATGTTCCATTCTCTCAAGCATTGCTGTCATGCAAGGGTCCCCGTGCGGATCCCACCAATACTTTTCCTGGTGCCCGCCAAGCATTTTTAGAAAGTGGGTGGGGCTCTTGCCCAGCAGAGCTTCTGATTGGCCACTGAAGACCTGATTGACTATACAGATTAGAATAATGTTTTGGTGACTGCTGCCACAACAGTGTTGGTTTTGTTCTCTCTCATTCTTTTCCCCCATTATATATATTTTTAATTATCCCTTTTCTCCCCTGCATTTGAGCTTCCTGTATGTATATAGCTCCACCACCCTTGGCAGCCATTTTGTGATTGTACCCACTACCCCAGGGGTGCCAAGCATGTGTCCCGGGGGCCGGATCAGGCCCTCAGCGGGCTCCTATCAAGCCTGCAGTGAAACTGGCTGTCGTCTGCTTCTTCTCCCAGTCCTGCTGCTGCTGCGTCATCATAGGTTTGCAGCTTACACACACCTGAACTGCATACTCAAGATTGCAGCAGCACAGACATTTTGATGCAATAATTCAGAGCAAGAGGTGTCAGTTAGCAGACACTGTTAAATAAACAAAATATTGCAAGAGTGCTGATGTTTTAAGCATGTTTTTATTTTAACTTAAAAAAAACCCCTTTGTGTTTGTGTCCTTTATAAAGTTTATATCTTCGCCACCTGGCATTACATCTTATAACACGCATGACCTGGCCCAACAAGGTCTCATTTATGTCAGATCCGGCCCTTATAAACAAATGAGTTCGACACCCCTGCACTACCCTGTATCAGAATTCCAAAAGGAGTCCACAGGGTGAGAAAAGTTGGGGATTCCTGCT